CAAGCCACTGCATTGGTAAAATCAAGTGACTGCTCAGTATAATACAAGCTAGTTTAGAAGATGGGGCTTCCTCTTAGTGTCTGTTCAAAATTTAGGAACAGTCAAAATTTTCCTGTGACTGTGACATCCTTTCTTTTCCTTGTCTTTTGGACTGATCTCCTCATTTTTTTTAATTACTACACTAGTGTCCAGTCCTGGAGCCCTGCATCTACAAATGCATTTATCTTTTTCTTCAGGAAAAAAATGAAATAAAATAAAATATAAATGCCACATTGGACATGTATCTGCCTTTTTCAGTACCTTCAGTTGCCTTGATGACCCCTTCATTGGGACACTAGCAGTGTCAAAACGTAATTTATTACACTGTATTATTTATGGCTCAGTCACATCCTTCTCACTTTTGGCAAGCATGCTGCTGTACCACAAATGAGTGAGCTCAAGGTCCATGCGTGGTGTCAAGTTCAGACAATAATAAGCTGGCGAAGTGTTGGACAAGACACAGTCTGGTGCATCTTCTCTGCTGTGAGGAAAATGGATGTGGAGAAACACAATCACTGCCTGCCCAGGGGTTTGAGCAATTTGAGCATCCTGGAAAAATACCTGATATTGATGTTATACTTTTAAAAAACATTTGAGTATTTTTATTTATTTATTTTATTTATTCAAATTATATTTTACTAGGGAAAACCCACTAAGGTTTGAAATGTCTCTTTCAGTGGTGCCCTGGCCAGCAGCATATAAAAAAAGAACAATGTACAGAAAATGCAACACTGCAAAATAAAAACAGAGTAATTAAAACGAATTAAAAAGCAGACAAAAATAGAGGCAGCGAGGATTCAGACATAAGTGCCATTAAAAGTAATAACAAGAAAGAGACAATAAAGGACTTGTTCAACAGTGCAGTTGCACTAGACTTCAATTCTGACTTCTTTTACCAGATTGAATAGATTATGTTCAGTGTGCAAAACACGGGCGGTCTAAGGGGGAACGGACCCCCCAGACTGACAGCTCAGACCCCTTGAAAATCTCAAAAATTAAATTTCAGCTCTTGAGCTGCTTTCAGGTATTATTTTGTACATTGATATTTAAATGTATTTGATGTATTTGGTGCCAGCTGTAGTGCACAGCAAAGCACAGCATTCACCACAAAGGTGAATGAAGGTGAAAGGTCACTGCCACACCAGGCCTTCCTGAATTTACAGCTGTGTTGGTTATGTAAAGAGAAAATAAAAGTGGACTGAGCTCAGAACCCTAAGTTACCCCGCTGACAACAGTAACCCAGTTTGAGCTATGCCCATTAATAGTGCATAGTTCTTATCAGGTAACATAAAAGTTAGCTAAACTGAGCAGAGTGATAGTTCTCGAGTGTAGAGTAATATAGTTTTTAAAAAAACTATTCTTACATGATTATATAGTACAGAATACCATAAAGGCAAACATTTCACAGATAAAGTAGCTGTGGGGAAATGCAACAAGACAAGACAGGGAGAGTGAGGAGCGGTGATAAAAATTCTAAAGTGAGCTCTTGTTGAGGTCACTGTATCAGGGACTGAGGGGTTTTTTCTAAGGGTTTATTTTAAGGGTCGTAATTTCACTTTTCAGTTAGGAAACCAAGATTTCTGCTGGGAAATTTTTTACTTCAGTGTGAAATGTCAGTAATTGATTTAAAGAGCACACTGCTGCCTTGATTTGTCTTTGGAAGTTTAAGTGGGTGAATTGTTTGTGCTTGCACGAGAAGAGTAAGATGGAGAATTGAGCTGAACCGATTTGCATTTATACTGTAGATACAAGTCATTAGAGTAGTGCTTTACCCAAATGCAGACACAGAGTACAGGTAACTTGACTAAAGAGCAGGGTTTAATAAGGACAGAAGGGCAAGCAAACAGATGGACACAATGGCAAATTCAAATAAAGTAAAAAGGTCAATGGCAGACTGACAAAAACATATCTGAATACACAAAGCTAACTATGACAAAACAACAGTAGACCCTAAAATACTGACATAAAGGGACAACCAACTAAAGTTAACAGAATAAGACTAAGAACTGACAACTGAGGAAATAAAGCCAAAAACAGAAGACCTATTACAACCTGGGGGGGGAAGGAAAACAAATGAAGACAGTGGCAGAAGTAACAAATTAACAAACCAAGAAGAACAAAGGGCTGGAAAAGACCTGACACAGGGTGAAACTAAAATCCAAAAATATTATAGACCATAAATGTGATGGAGGGGCTCAGAGCAGAGTACAATGAGGAACTAACAGAGAGACAGGATAGAGCTGGGACGTACACAAGTGAAAAATAGATGGGCAAGGAGGCACAGGTAGAAGATAACAAACAAGAACAAAATGGCAGGAAACAATCACAGGTGAGGACCAAACAGGAGACAATAACAGGGAATGACAAAGCAGGTAACCTTAGCAGGAGAAAAGGTAATAGTGTTGGGTAATCTGAGGAGGAAAAGTTGCAAGCAAGGAGACAACAACAGGTGACCATGACAGACAAACCAGAAAATAAAGGGAAGAAAACAGAGGTAACAGGAAAAACAGTCGGAATAACCAAAAACTAAAGAAAAGCTGGGGCAAGTGAGGTAGCAAAAAATAGGAAATACTTCAAAATAAAAGTGCAAAACACAAATTCAGAATTTGAAACAGGAGTACTGGCAGATCCACTGCACAGACTAATAGGAGCTAGGACTTGTACACTGTTGTCAATGTTATCTGATATTTATTCATACACTGTTTCAATAATGGATCTTCATCACTTCATTAAATAAAAAAAGCTATTTATCCTTTTAATGAAATGCATTAAAACCATTGCTGCCCTAAAAAATGAGATTACTTGTTTTACATAACAGAACAACAATATGATTATGTTGACAGTGATATTCTGCCCAGATGACACAATGCATTCCCATTTTTGTTGTTGAACACAGCTGTGCTTCTGACTACCTAACAGAAGCTGTTCCAGCCACAAAGGAAAACATACTGCTGCTCTGGGTGATGACACACTGTATAATCAAAGCTGTTTCCAAGGCATCTCAGTTGATTCTGCTACAGATTCAATATGGTGTTTTTTATGGTAACCACTTAAATTTCATGGTAAACATTTCCTCTGTTTTAATCTGCTGTGTGTTGTTTGTATACAATAATAAAAGAGCTTTTTGGATAACGCTGGTCCACCACATTTGTTCAGACTTTATAACAACTGGATACCTGTGAAATTCTGTAGACATTCATGGCCCACAGCAGAGGATGGATCTGACCGTTGGTGGTCCCCTGAGCTTTCCACAAGCTGCAGCAGCAGGTGAAAGTTTTTACTTATGCTGTGAAATTCGTCCTCTCATTACACTTCTGATTGAACTGTTAGCTATTCGATTTAAATATTACTCAAACAGAGGTAAGTTAACTTGTGTTGAAAGTTATTCAATTAAAAAAAATGTGTGTATGAAACAAGGCATGAGTGCATAGCAATTCCTGTGAAGTAATAAACACAAAAGGAAGCTCAAAGTGGTTACAGAATAAAAAGATAAGAGCAGACAATTTTATCAAAAGATTAGTTAAAAACCATTTTCCTCTTGAGAATCCCTTTGAATGTGTCATCCTATCTCTTTTTTACAGGACTGTGCAGACTAAAACAATCCACTCATGTCTCTGTTTAAGACAGGCTCTTTCATAGTGTTTGTGCCTGATGTTTAATCAGTTGTGTTTGTCAAGTTACTGCTGGAGAAACTGTCTCATGTGAGGCCAATCAGTAGAGGACAGCTGGTATGAATGCAGTGGCAGCGCCGCAGACAGATGGCTGCCTTGCTCCCTTCATTTTCCTCAGCTCTTCTAAACACAAAGAGGACAAAACAAAATCCTTGAAGCTTCTTTCTATTGCATTCTAGTATGGCCACCTGACAACCTGCCTGATACAATGGCTGCTTTTCCATCTATAGTGCTCTCTTTTCCTTTTGCTATCCTATAACACACATAACTGTAAGTACAGAGGCATGTGCATACATACTCTAACACATGCACACTCACACTCAAATTTCACACTGAGCTCTCACTCTTGCCTTTCCTGTCAGCAGCCCGTCTCGCTTATCAACTTCTCAGATTTAAAAGAGAAAGATGAAACACCTCTGCATGTTTCTGTTGCAGGTGATCCATTTGTGGTTTGAGGAGTTTCTTTTGGAGGACACCAGGATCTGCACGGCTGACTTCATCACACTGCAAGACTCTCTGGGAATCACTGATTAAAAAACATCTCATAAATTCCAACTGAGAAAGGAAATTGTTTTTAAAAATGATCTCAATTCTAGATAGATGGATAGATGGATGTACATAAGAACGCATACACATGTACATAAATATAACCCTCAGCCTGTAGAGCTATCTACCCATCCGAGGCTAAGGGGATTGAGCTTTGATGTCATGGCCAAATCAGCCCATCCATCCATGAGCAGACTCAGCTAGTGAGGCGCACAGCCCTGTTAGTCCACTGCACACTGCTCTACTTACAGTAACACACATTCTTGCACTAGTTTCTCAACCAGACTGCAGAGTTTAAAGCGGTGCTGTTCAGAAACATCATAGATTTCTGTTTGCTTGTAATGACATGTATTCCCCATTTTGTGTTGAACCAGTGCTGGGTCAGACTGATGCACGGATTCAAAGAAGGGGGTACTTTTGGGAAATTTGTAAAAACACGTGAAGACAAATTCAAAACTGTTTCTTGGAAAGTGTAAATTATTAATTGTGTAGGTAAATACTGTGGCCACATTAGACTAAGGCCAGTGGTGTCCCTAACAAATTGCCTGACAGTCTACTTTGACACCAATGACAAAAAAATCAAGCCCAGGATTCAAGACTCATTACAAAGCTGTAGCTCCAGAGCTCACATTAGGTAAGTTAATGACTGAAAATCCATTTTTGAAAGAGAATTAACTCAATTCTGACACTGTGTTTCATGTCTCTCTTACAGTATTATGATTGACCTAGATGGTTAATGTTGTAGGGATGTGCTGGCTGAAGCAAAGTGTAGGAGAAGGGAAAATGGGGTGGATGTGAGGGAAGGGGGTGTACTGTGGGCATCCTTGAGGTATCTGTGAGCTGAGGTGTCTTCCAGAAATAGTTGAAGCCAGTGGCTGTCTTGAAGGTGACAGCGGGGATCTAATGACCCCTGGCTTCCCTGGGCAGAACTACCAGAACGCAGCATTATACCAGGTAATGCCACACACACACAGTTCAAATGTGACAGCTACAGTACATGGTAATATTTATGTACACTTAGTTTTTTTCATTTGAGGAAGTACTGCTGACCTTTATGTTATGATTTAAGGTTGTACTGTACTACATAATACTGCACAGTGTGCTCTCTGTAAATACTTAACTCAGCATATACATGTAGATATGTTTTCTTAAAACAAATAAACTATTTTATGACAAATTATTCTCTTAAAGTTGCTATAACTGATGTCTTCTGGCATTTGGATAAAATAACAGTTAGCCAATTTAACAATGGTTGTTGGTTACAACGTTGTGTTTGCAATGTAATTTATGGTTTGCCTTTAATAAAATACAGTGATGAAGTGAATTCAAAATGAAGCTGTGTATTAAATCTACGAATCACAAACAGGATCAAGTTAGATAAAGTGAAGAACATCAGTGAATAATGCATCTAATTAAATCAATTGCTTTATTTTAATTTCAGTT